ATCCTCCATCTACTTGAGCACCAAAGAGGTCAGGTAAGGGTAATGATATGTAATTATATTATAATCTCAAAAATGTTTAATAAAAACAAATAAATGTTTTCAGACTTGGAAAAGCCTCTGACAGCTGGCTTCACTTGGAAACAGGCCCAAGTGCAGACAGTAAATCTAATGCCTGATACTAGTGATGAAGGGGGTGCTGCTGCTGCTACTCCATCACAGTTCCACCGTGTGGCGGCCTCACCGCGGAGTTCATAAGTGTACTTACTAACAAGATGATACCCTTAGACTTCGATGTTATTTCCCTTCAGAGTATGAACAGCACAAAGCTAATTCCATGGCTGTTTCAACGTTCCTTCTTAGCACTTGTAAAACCTTCATGTGTGAACTTCTTGAAATATAGTACTCAAATTATCATTGATTTTTAGTGTACAACTTCCTTGTTCCCATAAAGAATCATTACTCAGAAAAAATATTATTTTATCTTTAAAACCTACATCAAGGCAGAACTTAAAAATAATAAATGTAAAATTATAGAGATAGGAGAGAGGAATTCCACTTTACTTCTTTGGCAACAATAACATGCTTGTGTTTGTCAGCATTTTCTCTTACTTTATGAAATAATATACTTATAAAACAAAATTGTATGCATTGGCTGCAGTCTCTAGCTCCTCTGTCACTCTGTTGTCAGATGACTGACTCAACCGTACAGTTGATCTCACGTGTGACAGGGGAGTCACCCGTGACCCTCATGGTAGCAAAGATGAGTGATAGAATGGAAATTAAACTCAAAGCTCTTAAATTACACTTCGTTCTAATTCCTCAGTAAGTCTATATTCTTTGTGTTATGTGTACATTTTTCCTCCCTTTATCCATATCCTTTGTTGATTAATAGCTTTTGAATCATTTGTGATTTGTTGTCTGTGTAGAGATGAAGGAGAACAAAATTTTCTCCCACTTCTTGTTGACTTAAAGACAAGTAAGAGCAAAGAGTGTATAGCCTAGAACTTTCTATGTCTCCTAAGATAAAGGGTGAAATTTGTGAGGCAAACGAGGGTTCTAGTGATTATATTACTTTCCCTTCAATGCTAAGGAAACTGAAAAACCCTGAAAGTTACTTTAAACAAGAGACTAGAAGCTGCAGTGGGTCACTGAAGTCAGTTGTCTGAGTGTCAACACCTTCGGTAGCTTCCTGTGGCCTTGGGCAGGTGAGTCTCTGCACGGCACATCTGAGAGTATGTGGCGACGTGTCATTTTGACATCTATGTCAGATGCGACAATGAGTGGTGCATAATAGATGCTCAGGAACTGAGAGCCATTATGTTATATGAAATCAAATATGGGAATTTTTAACAGGTGCTTGGCAAGATTGTGAACACGAGGATAAAGCTTTTCATGAACTGCAGGAGCAAGCTTTCGGAAGCCCCTTTAGGAAGGTGAGTTGGCCAACAGGCAGATGCTGAGGGGAGGTCTGTTGAGGGCTAGCCTTCTCTGTGCCTTCACCAGACACCATAATTGATATGAAGCTAAAACAACCCGACTCAGTAAACCTCTCACCTTACTGCAGAAACCGTATGAAATTTTGTTTATATGTGTTTTTAGAAATTTGACTTAGTATTTATTGGGAAGTTATCAAGGGAAAACAGTGATTTCAAAAGTTTGGGGTTAACTGTATTGTCAGCACTTTTTCAGACCTGTATTTCAAGATGTTCTTTGTTACATCATCACATTCACTATTTGGGAGTCTTAAGGTGAAAGTGGTTCAGAATGTCTGCAGATGTCACAGAGATGTCTGTGTTTATCATTGTGTAAAATTGCTCTTATTCACAGTGACCTTAAATGACACCTGACAACAGAAACACACCCTTTTTTGGATCAGAATCTCTGTCCTTGTACTCACTGTGTCCTTAGGAATATTCAATATCTCCGGTGTCCTGGGGCAGAAAGGAGATATGCCCTTGTGCACTAGCATAGCTTGCTGAGGCTTTTTAGTGTGCTTTTCTCTGTCACAGTTACAGAACACTAAACATGCGTGTACACTCGACAGAAGAGGTATAATTCAGTTCATCTCTTTATTGTTTCCAAGTATATTATCTTTTATATATTATACACTATTACTTTGAACAGTCACTTTAAATAAGGAATTTTTAATGCTTGGAAGACAGTGAAATGGGAAACGTAGAAAATTAAAGTAGGAAATTACGATTCACCCATTGGCCCTTTGACTGACACATTTTTGTAGCTCGTTTACTTTTTAGGTTGTTCATTTTTGGTTGTATTTGAAATTCATCACATACCTTTCTAAATCCGATCAAAATCATTGACTATGTTAGCTATTAATTGAGAGGTCTATCCCATGGGTACAACATTTCTATTCTTATGAATGGACAGTCCCTTCAGAATATCTCTATAAAGATTGTTGCATTTAAAAGAAGAAGGAGATTGAGGGCTGGAGATAGATCTCAGTGGTTCAGAGAGCTTCTTGATGCTCTCAGAGAATCTAAGTTCAGTTCCCCGAAACTTACAACTGCAATCTCATGTTCTCTTCTGGCCTCTATGGGCATTAAACCCGTGTGTGTGTGTGTGTGTGTGTGTGTGTGTGTGTGTGTGTGTGTGTGT